TTTTTTTGTACAAAATAACTGATGCTTTTTTAGAACAAAAGAAGTTGGAACTGAGGAAAAAACACATCTAGGCTTTCTTTTACAACAGAAGCTCTGTGGTACTGTAATTCTAGTGAAGAAACATTATGTTGGCCATATGTGCGCCTTGCAGAAAGGCATACGTAGTGTTGTCCGTATCATTTTTATATGATGCATTTTCTGTTTTCCTGACCAGATAAAAGGTGGGAAAGTGCATTACATATCTGATGCTGGAATTGCTGGGAAGGTGGAAAGGAACGTTCCTGAAGTGTACACGGCAGACGGCCAGTGGCACTCGGTGCTCCTGGAGAGGAACGGCTCCAGCACGCTGCTGTCTGTCGACAAGGCGCATAGCCGGGACATCCTCCACGTCACGCAGGACTTCGGTGGACTCAATGTTCTCACAATTTCTTTGGGAGGAATCCCACCAAGCCAACCTTTCAAAAGCACAGTTGCAGGTTTTTTTTGTTTTTTTTTTAATACTCTGTGCATAAACATATTTAAACAGATAAACACATGTATTGTTTATGTATAAAGTATCTGTATTTGCTTAAGGGCAGAAAAAACTGTAATTCTTTATCAATAACTCATACTCTTCTATGCTTCATCAGGAAAATTCCAATTTGAAATTACTTTAACATGTCAGAGTGAGAAGTGTAGACTTCGTGCAAACTTCTGTGTTTAATATATGTTGCAGCCTTGCTACTTTTAATTGGAGGCATTCCATAAGAGGGTTTTTTGAAGATGAGGGTGGATTTGCTTGCTCGTCTGTTATGTGAATCACTGGTTATGTGGTTCTGTTATGCTAATGACAGAAGAAAGGACATATTTTTCACCTGGGTTAGAATCGGGAAAATCAAGCCAAATCTTTTACTCAGACATAATGCTAATGCTAAATAAGACATAATGCATAATACTAAATAAGAGCTCTGTAGGGGTTTGTTAAGTACTGCAGGATTTAGCCTGTTATTAATATGATTAAAATATTTTCTGAATCTCCACTTCCTCCTGCTAACTGCTATCAAATCAGGAATAGGATTTGTTTCTGAGCAACAGAAACCAAGTACAATAAAAGGCCACTTTCTTCCCAACATCTAAATATTAAACACATTAGTCTCCCTTAAGAGACTTAAAGCAATTGTCTTAGACTCTGGCAAAAGAAGTAGATAATATTCACTTGATACTATTACCCCACTGTTACGTATACATAGATATGTTTTAGCTACAGACGGACATACTCCAGACAATAGAGGCATATATTTTTTAAGTATTTATATAGAAAAATCTTCCTAACTTTAATAATTGTCACCCAGTAAAGTAAGTGTGAATGGTACAGATTCACAGTTCATGTTTCTTGACACTTTCCAGTATAAACAATATCTGTGCATTGTGCATAAGTATAAAATGTGATATGAAATCATATGAACATGATGATTACCTTTTGGTTTTGCAAAGTTGAACAAAGAAAACTGAGCACAGTAACTTCTCACCCACTGCCTGATGTTGCCGATGAATTATGAGTCTCCGGCTTACATTAAGAATGTACAATCCAAAATCTCTTATTTATATGATGTTTTCTTAATACTAGATTACATTGTATGTCACGTACCAAAGATTTACAAGAGGGAGGTATAAAACTCTGTGCGAACTCATATAGTCAAGAATTACCATTAAAAGTCAAAAATGCTATTAAAGGCAGATAGAAACATACATGGCAGACAATTTCAGGGATGTGAAACTAGTATATCCAATAATGATTTTCAACTGAGGTAGACCTGACAAAATCTCACTTGCTGTGTATCGTATCGCTACTGAAAAGGGACCACCAAGAGTGAGGCAAGCTAATCCTCCATTCTGCGTTGTCTCCTACCTGAGCCCAAATCCTCAATTTCCTCTTCATTCAGAAATGCAAAAACAGGAGAAAATGAAAAGTAACACTGAAAGGAAACACAGCGCTCTCAGTGCAGAAATAATACAGAAATAGCATGCTTGCAAAACTTAGGCTCTTTTACGTCACTTGAGAGCATATGACTTGTATCTCTCAAAAAAGCTATTTGACATTGATACCCACTGTTGTTTCACTTCTGACAGAGAGTATTCACATTTTAAAAGAACACCCTTTAAAGATGTCAAATCCTTACTGCCTCTATGCTAGGCATTTTTACAGGGATTTCAACAATTATTTATGAAATTAGCATTAATAGTGGTTATTGTTCAGTTCCAGCTATATGTTGATGTTGGTGAAGCTTTTCTCAATGCTAATATTGTATGGAATATTTCCATGCAATTGTTTTTGCTTTTTATTGTTTCACCTACTTGCCGTGTTCCAGAACCTGAGTAGTGGCATTTTCCTTCTCCTCGTCAATCATTTTTATTGTGCTATGTCTGATATAATTTACTCTTGAATAATGTTTTCCTGCAAGCATGGCGCCCCACATGGCATGCAAACAGAAGTTAAGGAAAAAAGAAAGATGCTTCTTACACCATTTGTGCATATGGTAATTGAGAGCATAATTTGCACCTTAAGGGGTGTACCACTTACAGCTCTGAGTAAAGGTCAGCATGAAGTTGCCCTATCCTAAAATCCTTGCAGAAAGGATTAAGACTCAGGAGCACAGGGAATTATTAAGTTGGCCAAAGGCTCAATTTTCCTGAGACCTCACAGACAACCGCACAAAGGCCAGGGATAATCCACCTCCATGTGCTCTCACGGCACTGAAGCTCTGGGTCACCACTGAGAGGGGACTGTTGCCACCAAAGCATGGCAAGTTTAGAGAAAAGGCCCTTTAGATTCAGAGGCATAAAAGGATTGCCATGAGCACCATGTTTCCCAGCGCAATGAGACATGAGGCTTAACTGCAGCACAATAGACAGCTTTAGTTCAGAAACGGGGAAACTGGGAAGAGTGCAAGCAAAAGAAAATGGACAGCTAATTTTTTTTTTTTGCTACCATGGTCAAGCCATCTGTGAAAAAAGTTTCTCTAATGTGGATGATAAGTTTTAGAACTAGGGGGAAAGGAGGGAGAAAGTATTGAAGTTTGTATGGTTAAGTCATTGTGGGAATATTTGCTCAAATTAATTTCAGAACTTTAAATACTTTGTTAATGGATGCTTTCCTACAATACCATTTGAATTTCTGCTCTGTTTACAGAGTAATGGCAATGAAACCTCTCATTTAGCTTCAGTGAAATAGATCTCTAAATTGAAATCACTTTAAGAATATATTTTTAGAAAATGTTTCTGAGAAATCCACCAATTTACTCATTGGACAGCTCTTTGGCAAAATCAGCACTTAATATTTTGTCAAAATATTTTTTCTCTGAGGGGAAAGTGCTTTAAAATTAAGATCTGAGAATATAAACCTTTAGGCTTCATTTGATGAGTCTAAAGCGCAAGCAAGGGAATCCACACTCACGAAAGTATCCTCTTGCTTTGCAAAATTCAGATCTAATCTGATCACTGAGTGACAGAGTTGACTTTATGTGTAGGTAAAGTGTTTTTATCCAAAATGCATTTTTGTTTGTATTTTTTTATTTTTTCTTAAATTTTTCACAGTTTCTAAGCTTGAGGTAGCTATTTCCGAATCTGCCAGTAGTTCTTCCTCCCATACAGCAAGTATAATTGTCATATAAATGTTGATGTCAGATCAACATTTCAAATTGCGTTTCGGTTTCTGATTAAAGTAGATTGATTCTTTTCAGATTTGCTGAAAGCAATTGAAGTGCTTCTAGAGGGCAGAATGTGTTTATTTCAGCATCTAAAATGCAAGTTTTGGTACACTTTATTTATTCACCTAAAAATATTTTTGTTGCATTGAAATGTTACTAAAGAAATTAGAAACCGTGACCAGTTTCAGAACAGTTAGAGAACTAAAAGGTTTTTCAAGATATTTTGATACCATTTATATGTCGTGCATATATCCTCAGAGAAATTGCTTGATTCCACTCTTACTTTTAATGGCCATTTCTATGTACAAGGTGTGAAAATCATTTGCTTTTATGAAAATTATGTGAGAAGCCCTGGACATGAACAGTCTATTTACCCTCCTTACTCTACTGCGTAGAAGTAATTTTCAGTTCCTGTCTAATTTGAACCAAGAACTCGTTAAAACCCGAGAGAGACCCACAGACACGTGTACATTAAAGTGCGAGTGAAGTACGCTGGGTTCGGGTCCCAACGTGATTGTTTGCTTTTCCTCCTAGGCTTTGACGGCTGCATTTCCTACGTCAAGTACGGCGGGGAGAGCCTGCCCTTCTCCGGCAAGCACAGCCTCGCGGCCATCTCGCGGACGGACCCCTCGGTGAAGCTGGGCTGCCGAGGCCCCGACGTTTGTGCCAGCGGGCCCTGCTGGGGCGGCCTCATGTGCATCAACCAGTGGTTCGCCTACAAGTGCGTGCCGCCGGGGGCCTGCGCCTCCAGCCCCTGCCAAAATGGCGGCAGCTTCCAGCCCCGGGCCACGTGTGCCTGCCGTCGCCGCAGCCCGCCGAGCTGTCCCTGCCGCTCTGGGCCGTGCCGGCCATCGTGGGCAGCTGCGCCACCGTCCTCGCGCTGCTTGTCCTCAGCCTGATCCTCTGCAACCAGTGCAGAGGGAAGAAGGCAAAAGCGCCCAAAGAAGAGAAGAAAACGAAGGAGAAGAAGAAAAAAGGGAGCGAGAATGTTGCGTTTGATGACCCTGACAACATCCCCCCCTATGGCGATGACATGACGGTCAGGAAGCAGCCTGAAGGCAACCCAAAACCCGATATAATCGAGCGGGAAAACCCGTATCTCATCTATGACGAAACGGACATCCCACACGCACCAGAGACCATCCCCAGCGCCCCGCTGGCTTCGCCGGAGCCCGAGATCGAGCACTACGACATTGACAACGCGAGCAGCATCGCCCCTTCAGATGCCGACATCATCCAGCACTACAAGCAGTTCAGGAGCCACACACCCAAGTTCTCCATCCAGCGGCACAGCCCGCTGGGCTTTGCCCGGCAGTCCCCCATGCCCTTGGGAGCCAGCAGCTTGACCTACCAGCCCTCCTACGGCCCAGGGCTAAGGACCACGTCGCTGAGCCACTCGGCGTGCCCTACGCCCAACCCACTGTCTCGGCACAGCCCCGCGCCCTTCTCCAAGTCATCAACCTTCTACCGGCACAGCCCGGCGCGGGAGCTGCACCTCGCCATACGGGAGGGCAGCCCGCTGGAGGTGCACAACGACGTCTGCCAGCCCGGCATTTTCAACTACGCCACTCGGCTGGGCAGGAGAAGCAAGAGCCCGCAGACCATGGCGGCTCACGGCCCACGGCCGGGCAGCCGCCTCAAGCAGCCCATGGGGCAGCTGCCCCTGGAGAGCGCGCCTCCCGTGGGGCTCTCCATCGAGGAGGTGGAGAGACTGAACACGCCGCGCCCCAGGAACCCCAGCATCTGCAGCGCCGACCACGGCCGCTCGTCCTCCGAGGAGGACTGCCGCCGGCCCCTGTCGAGAACGAGGAACCCGGCCGACGGCATCCCCGCGCCGGAGTCATCCTCCGACAGCGACTCCCACGAGTCCTTCACGTGCTCGGAGATGGAGTACGACAGGGACAAGCCCATCGCGTACACCTCTCGGATGCCCAAGCTGTCCCAGGTCAACGAGTCAGACGCGGACGACGAGGACAACTATGGTGGCAGGCTGAAGCCGCGGCGCTACCCTGGCCGCCGAGGGGAGGGCGGACCCGTGG